GTATCTACATCTACTGCTTTCCAGAATAAAATTGTTCATACTGTTGCCTCTTTTGGATACATGACTGCTATTGAAATCTACAGATATCAGCAGTGACACTCTTTCTTGCCATGTTGTATTTACTTGCCATCCCTACCATCAATACTTACTGTAGAGATTCTAATTTAAACTGAATTAGGAAAAAGAAGGTTTATTATTGCCTAACTGAAGGTGAAAAATAAAAAGCAAAGTGAGAAGTTAAACTGTGTTGAATGCTGCGTGTGCTGGACTGAGAATCAAAGCAGTTCTTTACTGGCCAATTTCATTTTGTTGACTGCATGGGCATTTAGTTCTTTGGCAAAACAAGCAAACAGTAAAATTGTGCTAGCCCTTATAGCACGCTCCTGCAACAAAGTAGTCGTGCTGTCAGCAAAAATCCAAAGCATCTCAACTACAGCTTCTAGGCTCCTTGCTGAAAACTCTTAGACCACATGTAGGTTGTGGTCTTTTGCTGTGTTGCTTTTCAGCTTTCTTTGAAATCAAGGTGACAGATGGTTGAAGTATTAACGTTTACACCCCTCTTCAGGTTCACTTAAGATTTTTCTTCAGCTTTATTTAAAGCTTCTATCTGTCTTTCAGGTCTATAAACAAGAACAAGAGGAAGAGTTAAAGAAGAAGATGGCCTTGGATCCCCGATGGAAGAGGTATCGGAGGTGGATGAGAAATGAAGGACCTGGAAGACTGACTTTCATTGATGACTGAAAGTTGCTGAACACAGTGTGTGCTAATGTCAGCAGTGATCTGCAAAACTTTCTGCTACATCATTCAGAGTTTTGTCTACTGGTTTGGCAGTGATCTAAAACTCAGGAAATATTAAATCAGGCCGAAAAATAGTACAGGTTTACGGTTTTTATAAATCAGAATTATTAAGCAGGCATAACTCAATGTGTATATCTTACGTACATGGGGATCGTAATGTGGAATTCATTATTTCAAATAATGTATTTCCTCTACATATTTCATACTTATGATCAGTGGAATCGTAATTTCAATCTTCCTGAAACTGTTTCTGTATCTGTCCTTGGAAGTCTCAGTTCTCATTTCTAAACTGAAGGGTTCATGTGAGTGAACGCTAGAAATTGAAATTGTTAGTAAGGACTCTGAAATAAGGGCCATTTCTTAGTTTCTTCTTCTCTTCCACCTACTTTTCAACTTTTTAAAATGCCAAATTGTTTTTTGATGTAGACAATATGGGGATTATACCAGACTACTTCTTTTGCTAGTCCCTCTCCAATTGGAAATGAATTTTATTCTTTGTGGGAATAAATGATGCATGATTGATCACCGTTATGGTGCAAACAAGCCTTAATTCTTTGTTCTACAGAGTGGTTCATGAAATAGCATACTTAAGTCACTTTGGTTTTTAATCTTGTACATTAGATTGTACTTACTTGTTCAGAACAAACGTACCAGTGAATATTAGTCTACTAAATGTGAAACTTCTTTCACCAAAGTATTGGTAAAGGGAAAATGACCCTTTTGTTTAAAAGGGCAATCTTGATGCCTTATGTAAATAAAAGTTTATATAATATGCATCCTGGATTTGTTTTAAATTTAAACCTGAAGTATTCTTTATCCATTCTGATTCTTCTGATCAGACATCAAGGTACTTAGAACACAACAGTTCCCTTTGCTTTCATCTGTAACTCAAGGCAGGTCAGAGTTTCGACAGTTTATGATTTCTGTATTTCTACTCGAAAACTTTATTGGGGAAAAAGTACTCAGGGTTTGTGGCCAGATCGGGCTGCTTCTGTCTCTTCTCGTGTCTGTAGAGATCTGTATCTGTGCAGGTTGGTTCTGGGAGAAGCTCTCTCTTAAACTTGCTGCTGCTTCCAAAGCTTCTAATAGCTAGAAGTCTTCAAGTGCTTATAGACCAATTTTTGAAGTAAGACAATTCTGCTTCTGCAAAGGTGAGCAACCAATCATAGAATCATCTAATTCGAAAAAAAAATCCAACTTTAATATCTCTAAGCCCAATTATCAACCTGACCTACTGAGTCCCATAAGTAAACCATTCTCCTCAGTGTTCACTTGTCAGTTCCACCACCTTCCTGTGTAGCCAGACTCTGAAGAAAGTCTTTCCGATATCCAGAAAGATCTAAACCTCTCCTAGTGCAGCTTCAGGCCGCTACCTTACATCCTATTGCTTGTCACCTGAGAAAAGAGGTTGTCATCCACCTTGCTGCAATCACATTTTCAGGTATCTGTAGAGAGAGATGAAGTCTTCCTTCAGCCTCCTTCAGACTAAACAACCCTCGTGTAAGCTACCTGCTCTTCATACATCTTCTTTTCCAGTCCCTTTACCAGCTTAGTTGCTTGCCACAAGCAATGCAACATCCTTCTTACAATGAGAAACTCAAACAACACAATATTCAAGATGTCTCACCAGTGCCATATACAAGGAGGCAATACCCTTCCTTAGTCCTACTGGTGATGCTATTTCTGATTCAAGCGAAGATGCGATCAGCCGTCTTTGCCACCTGGGTGCATTGCTAACACATGTTCAGCTGAGCATCAGTTGGCACCCCCAAGTCCTTTTTTATTGGGCAGCTTTCCAGATACTCTGCCCCAGGCCTGTACCTCTGCATGGAGCTGTTGTGAGTCAGAAGCAGAGCCCAGCACTGAGCCTTGCTGGGTGTCATATGGCTGATCTCAGCCCATCAATCCAGCCCACCCAGTGCAGATCCCTCCTACCCTCCATCAGATCAACAGTCCAGTCCCATTTGCTGTCCTCTGCAAACTTCCTGAGGGTAGATTCAATCCCCTTGTCCAGATAGCTGATAAAAACATTAAACAAAACTGTCCCCTGCACTGAACCCTGGAGAATGCCATTGGTAACTGGCCACCAGCTGGACTGAACTCCATGATCTCCCATCATTCTCTATGATTCACTACAACTCCTCGAGACCTGCCAGCCAGCCAGAACTTCACCCAGTGAACTGTGCACCTGTCCAAGCTGGGAGCAGCCAATTTCTCCACGAGGATGCTGTGGGAGATGAGATGATGCCAGATGCTTTACTGAAATCTAGGTAGATCCACAGCGTGTCCATCATCTGCTAAGTTGAGTCACCTTGTCATAGAAGGAGATCAGGCCTTAGTCAGGCAAGATCTGCCTTTCACTAAACCTATGCTGGCTGTTTCCAATCATTTCATTGTCCCACATCCTTTCAGGAAGATCTTCATTTCTTGGTACCTCCTCTGCTAATTTAGCTCTCACTAGTTTTTGGAATGTTATCTCAGTTTTCTGTTTGAAATAACATATATCCAAAAATATGTCGGAAGCACTATCCTGAATGGCTAACTTTCATGTGCATTTCCAAAATTTAAAAGAAGTTTCTAGGTCTGTCCTTAATCTCTGCTGCCGTATAGTGCTGCTGTAAGCTTAATTCACTCCATACTTAAAGGTCAAATCAAGTCTTAAGTTTGTTAAAGAAAATGTTCAGAATAAGTCATGCTTATTCTCAGGAAATAATCTTATTGGCCTTGTAGTGATGTTTCAGGGACACCACAAAGATGTTTGTTAAGTGGGACTCCTTCACAGCTTGCATGTAGTCCTTTTTCCACCAGAACATGTTCAGCCTTCTGCAAGAGTGGGGAAGAAATTGCAGTTTCTGTGGCAAATACAAAGCAAAAATGAGTACAAATTAGTGAAACAGTGCTGCTTACCCAGCACTGTTTTGCAGTACCCCTGCAAAAGAAGCCAGCAATGTACCTCTATGTAGACACAATTTCACAGGCAAAGAGCTGACAGCTCAGCTGCTCTCACACTAGTTTCCACCCTTTGTACCATAGAAAAGTGTTTGTGTAAGATGGGTCACAGAAATAAGCAGGCAAGGCCCAAATCACACATCTGTCTTCCCCCTTTTTACGTTAGTTCTGACCAAGATTAATTTTCTGACCCGACTCTGTAGTGATTAAAAGGTGCAGTGGCAGGGCATTTCCAGGGAGGACAGAACCATGTCTTTCAGCAGCAGTGGCACCTTGTTTTTCTAAAGCAGTGTCCCAGAATCAAGTGCAGAAGGGAAAATCAGCAGGTATTCTGCTTTGGGTGGAAAAGAGCCGTTGCTCTTTTGTGGCGCTGATTCTGAATTTCTAATCTCTACACTTGAGCCCATTAAAAATACCTAGACAGATGCATAAGCTCATGAGTTGCAGGCAGAATTTGCTGGGCTGCGCCATTTACATTTCTGTGATGGAGGCCGGAAGAAACAAGTGTCTGTCACAGAGCTGTCAGGTCGTGGTGACACTTTGTTAACTGGGGTCACTAATCATGTATAGCCTAAGTCTTATTTTAGTTTAAACATATGCATCTCAGTCACGTATTTTAGGCCCTATTTTATCTTGAAATTGAGTCCACAAAGCAATATCATACACAGATTGAGAAAAGTGCAGTGATAGCACTGACTGTTGTGTTAATATGCCTTGTGAATCCAGTGTAAGTGGACTCTGAAGGGAGCTGCCTGCATGAACAGGAACTGACCATATTGTGTAGTGTGAGATCTTGTGAAAGTGTGTGGCTAACAAGGGAACAGAACAGAACAGGACAGCATGGAACGGAATTGGGGGGAAGGGAACAGAATAGTTCTGTTGGACGGGACCTTCAAAGAATATCAAGTCCAACTACCTGAGCACTTTGGGGTTAACCAAAAGTTAAAGCATGCTACTGAGAGCATTCTCCAAATGCCCTTTGGCCATTGACAGCTGTTGGGCAGCAACCGCCTCTCTCGTGTTTGACCACCCTCATGGTGAAGAAATTTAGAAATTTAGTGAGAACTATTGGTGATAGGTGGATGGTTGGACCGGGTGATCTTGTAGGTCTTTTCCATCCTTGGTGTTTCTGTGATTCTGTGAAATGCTTCCTTATGTTCAGCCTGAGCCTCCCCAGCGCAGCTTCGCGCCGTTGCCATGCGTCCTCCTATCGGTTCTTCGGAAGAAGAGACCGGTGTAACGGCATCTCGGAGGAAAAAAGTCGGAGTGGATGGCAGATGAAGATCATCACCCGAGGATCGCTTCTGGGGGCGGAGCGGCAGCGGCCCCTCCCCCGGGCGGCTCCCGCGGTGCCGGCAGAGCCGTGCCGAGCCGTGCCGAGCCGTGCCGATCCCCGCCGTCCCGTTCCTGCCTGCCCCGTCATGTCGTCGGCCGGCAGCCTGAGCAACATGCAGCGCCTGGTGGAGCAGCTGAAGCTGGAGGCCGCCGTGGAGAGGATCAAGGTGAACCGGGACGCCCGGGGGAGCAGGGGAAGCGGAGCTGCCCCGCTTCGCTCTCGGCGGAGCCGGGCGCCCTCGGGGTGGCGGCGCGCGGAGAGCTCTCTGTCCGGGTCTCGAAGATGCCCGGGTTGCGGGGGCTCCGAGCCCATTGCCGGGGCCGCCGCCCCTCCCGGACCCGCGCGGTAAGCGCCGCTCCCCGGCGGGAGGCCGTGATGAATAATGGAGCAGCTCCGCGTTAGTTCTGCTCCGACGGGCACGCTGCTCTGCAGCCGCGCCCCGCAGCTCCCCGCTGCCCCGCGCGGGGTGTTTTCGTAGCAGCTGACAGCTCGGGGACACAGGCGATTTTCTACGCATGCATGAACCTTCTGCATATTTCTAGACAAAGACAGGCCAGTGAGGCAACGCTGTTATCTGTCTGCTCCGATATTATTTCTTTTCTTTTTCCTTTCTTTCCCTTTTTATTTTTATTTTTCCTCTGTCAATCCAAATGCAGCCCTGCAGTCCTGCCTTGGTTCCCAGCAGGTGCAGGGTCCACAAGTTCTTCAGGGAAATGACTTCTTTTTCACACATAAAATTCATCGAAGTCTACAAGGTGATAAAAGTCTAGTTGTCTGCATCCCGTACTTCCCCCTGCTCTCACCACCTCTGTGCACTCTCCATTTTTCTCTGGCCAGTTGCAAAACACTGGCTTGCATACCACTGGACAAAGTTTATGGGCTTACTAATGATTTTGAATGCATTTTCTCACTGCTCCCGCTGTGGGCTGCTGAAAAGTCAAAGTGTCCGTTGCACCACATTAAGCACTGAACAATGTTTCATAAATCAGCTGATTTATTAATGCTACTAGATGTTACTAGTCAGCAACGAGCTTGCAGGTATGCTGCAAGTGACCAAGCTCCTCCCAGCTTTGTGTGGGAATCTATGAGAAATGACACAGTGCAGAACAGAAATGCTTTGTGACAAGGGGTCCCACCGAGAAATGGCTGACTCATCACTACTGTCATTTTAGACCATCAGCAGTCGCCTACACCTCTCTGTTATATCTCATTATGAGGCATATTATACTCCATCCCCCCCCCCCAACTCCTTGTTTGGGTGGCTACAGCTGATGCTGTGCTTCCCAAGGCTATTGTGTTATACATGAGTTTGGGAGGTTCCTGAGGCTGGGCCTTAATGAGGCTTTGGTCTCCTCTTTCTCCCAGCGTTGCTACTGCAATTTCTTTCCAGGTCTGTTCTAGGAACCTCTTGGTGTCTTTTCACAGCAACAAACCAAGCGATGCATGATAAAAGTGTGTCATCTAGGCTTCTTGGTACAGAATGTAAAAACAGCAAGGGACATCTGGCTGGCAGAAACCGCATGAAACCGCATCAGCTTTAACTGATGGTTGGATGGGAGTAAACATTGTTTTGGCTACTTTGAATACACAATGTGTTTTCAGGAGGAAGCTGAATATGAAAGGAGTTTTATAAATACATCCCACACTACAAGTTCCAGTGGTGATTTTGTTTACCCCAACAGCTAAAAAAGTAGACAGGAACAGTATTTTCAGAAAGAGGAAACCATGAAGGAAAGAAGTACCCCCACGTGTCTTGCATGCAGGAGGCTGCTGTTCACAGCATGTTTGTGCTGGGATGAAATACAGAAGAAATCCTTCTACTGTCCACGTCAGCTGGAGGAGTAGAGTGCTCTGGGGCTTGTGCAGGGCGAAGACTGGGAAGATCTGTCCTGGAATTCAGTGTGTTGAAGGCTCAAGCGTCAGTGTTGTGATTAAGGCAAGAACATTAATATTTCAGAGAGCCAACAGAACTAGACAGGGTGGAGGCTGCATCGTTCTTTGCAGAGGTTGTCCCCAAGAGAGGGACAAGTGGCAAAGCCTGCTGAGCAGCAGGGAATCCTTGCTGCGGATGTTCCTTCTTGTGCCCCTCCCAAGAGGATCTGGCAGGCTGTGGGAAAATGTTTCTCTGAACAATTCCCTGCAGTGCTAACATCTGCTGGAAATTTAGGCAGTTACCAGTACGAGTGTTCTGAAGCAGAGCTGGCAGGCAGGGAATGGGGCAGCAGCAAAACAGTGAACAAGTGCACCCACCAGACTAGATTTACTGATGCATTTCCAGGTGTTGTCAGATTGGATGGCCCAAAATGAAAAGCCCACCAGGGCTCCAGGATGGCTCCTTCGGTCTGGAGAGTGCGGATGGTCATTCTGGCTCATCCTCCCCTGGCAACACTGCAACACTGTAAAGAAGAAAAAGCAATATTTTAGAAGTTCTGTGGTGATTCTGGGGTCAGAGGAGAACTAGTATTCCAGCAATATGCTCAGGATACCAAAACGTGGCAGACAGCACGAGCATCGGCTTTAACTTGCAGCTGTTATCAATGCACTCCCAGAAATTGGGAATTCCTCAACATTTCCCTTCAAAAATATGGACACTTGACAGTCCACAGGAAGAACAACCAGCTTGCTTTTGGGCTTCTGGGCTTGTTCTGCATCTCTGGGCTGTCCTTTCCAGGGCCAGAGCATGGGTGTGACTTCACTGCCAGGGGAAGGTAGCAATTTGGACCAAAGGGTTTACATCCTTGTCCTCTTGCTTTCTTTCCTTATTAAGCTTTGTGGTGTTGAACAGTTTGGAAGTAAAAGTCCTTTTTGTAAATTATCTGAGAATATAAGAGTTCAAACACAAAATTGTACAACAGAATGGAAAATGTTGTGGTCACAGCCTTGTCTGTTTCAGTGAGGATGAGTTCCATGGCACTGATACTTCAACCCTGTACGTGCAGCTCTGGCTCGTCACCAGTGTAGCAGGACATATGTCTCATCAGAGCTCTGCAGATGAGTGCTTGTGCTGATTTACTTGATGTTTTGGAATTCAAGAGCTGACTTGGCTTCTCCCCAACTTTTTGTTAGTGTTTCTTCCAGAGGAAATGCTCAATAGATGCTTGTGAATGAATTAGTTTCCTCTCTATATTTGTTTTTCCTTTTTCTTTACTCAGGTCTCCCAGGCAGCTGCAGAGCTCCAGCAATACTGTATGCAAAATGCCTGTAAAGATGCCTTGCTGGTTGGGGTCCCTGCAGGGAGCAATCCCTTCCGTGAGCCCAGATCCTGCACTCTGCTCTGAAATCAGGTAACAAAATCACAGATACCATCACCACTGCTCTCTTTTGGAAGCTCTAGCAACTACAAAGGGGCACTGTGATAGCTGCTTGAATTTTGAATTCTTTGTAGCAAATTGTGTGCCACTTTCCTGCTGGCTCTAGAAACTGTTTTCTGCTTCTTTTAGGTATGGCAACTGAACTGCACCTCTTTTTTTATTGCCCTTTCTCGTGTTTCTGTTTATTTGTTTTTGCATTTCAGCAGTTCTGTGCTCATTATCAGCATCTAAAATAATAAAAACTTCCCATGTGTAATTGACAAAGCCAGAAACAAAAACATCATGTACCTAGCTTGGGGAAGTGAGATAAAACTGCAGTACTTGCATGTGTCTTGGTTAAGATCATAGCTGAGGCAAGAGTCCTGTTAAAAATACATTTTGTCTTCAGCATCCTACTGCAGTTTATCTGGCTGTATCAGTCACCTTAGGGTTTTTCTTGCTATAGTTGATACAGCATCAAAATTCTTGGAAGCAGAGCAGAGCTGGGACAGTCTTTAAGCACGTTCTTTTAACAGTTTTCAGCTCAGGGCTAGAAGATAATGTGCTACCAGAACTCTGTCTGCCTTAGTGCTCTGCTGTGCTTGTACCTCCATAACAACTTCAGGTGACCATTCAGCACATGCATGCAGAATTGCCATGTATGCCAGTGGACTTGGGCAGAATCACACCATTGCTTTTGTTGGGAAACATTATTTCTTCTGCAGGATTAACAAATATGGAACAAGGATAATTAGAAGAGGCTATTTTTCTGTAAAATAAAAATAGATACTACTGAAGAACTGAGAAAGCTACAAGGAGGGAAAGAAAAGCTGAATTCTCTTATTTATTGGAGAATGATATCAAAGTGAAATTGAATTGTTTTCTGTAACAGCAGAATTTAAACTAGAATGCATAATATTTGTAGGATCTTTCCCTTCTCACTGCTGGGGTTCCTGAGCTTACAGTCACTTTTTGCCTCATTAATAGCATGGTTTTGATTGTTCCTGCAAGGGTCTGAGGAACAGAATTGAACAGGAAGAGAGAATGCAGCTAAGCATGAAATGTTCTTGTGGAAAAATGGGTGGAAGAAAGCACAAGCAAAAGACTTTCTTAATTTAGATGCTATCCCTTAATTATCCCTGCATCAAATAAAATCGAAAGTGACTTTTGCACATGTTTACATGTCCTTCTGTTATTAAAGTAGCCCTTTTTTGTGCGTGTTTTATTTCTAGAGTTCAATTTTGATTACATCATCAGGGCAGGATATGAAGTACTTTCCCAAGCCAGTGTTTGATGGTTGATTTATGATAGTTATGATAGTTTATGAGAGAAGTGTAGCTGGGATCAAGATGTCTATCATTTTTTTGCCAAAATTTTTCTAGTTATTAGTTTAGTTACCTGAGCACCATAAAAAAAAGAGAGCAAAATTGAAAAAGCCAGTATAGAAATTTTGCAATATTCAAGGATGTCAACATCCAACAGAGGAAAGTGGCTATTCAGATTTTCTCTGTTCAAAAGGAGTCTTCTGTGCTATAGGTTATATAAGAAATGTATCAGAATAGGAAGAAAGCATTTAATAAACTCTTTTTTCCTTTAACAGGGGAGGTCAGTAGAGAGATACCTTGAAGCATGACATGACTAACAATGGCCTTTTCTTCAAGAAACGTATCTCTGTGTCCTTTCTTCTATGTGGCTGAAACTTGGATATTTGTCTATTCATTCTTGTGCGTTCATGCCTCACTGTTTTACTAATGTTTTTATAGTTTTTTTAATGTAAGTAGTTCTTTTTGTAAAAGTCACCATTGTTATTACACTATACTATCTATACAAATACTACTTGAGAAGTTTACATTTTTGAAAGCAAAAACATGATTATTTTTACCAAATTACCTATTTCTAACTTGGACGGTTGTTAGGCTGGAGTGATGGTGATAATTATTTGTATTTTCTGAAACAGAACATCTGAAAAATGATCTGTTAAAACCTAAAAGCAAATGCGGATAGTATTATGAGAACTGTTCTCTGAAGTGTTTTCTTTAAATAGAAAGACCTGAAACCAGCAACACTGTTTTTTTCCAAGTGCTTGAAAGTCCACAGATGACACCTGTTAGAAAATGCTTGACATGATGTGTAGCACAGTCTTGTTCCATAAGCACCTTACTTACAAAAGCCCTGTTTTGTTTAATGCTTCTCATAATTTGTATTCATAAACATACTGCCTTGGTGAAATCTCATCTTTAAATGTTTAAAACGTAACCAAACTCACTCTAAAAATACGTAAGTGTCCAAGGACCGTTGCGTGCATGATTTTTGAGGTTTGAAGTACACAAAATTACCAAGTTCCACAAATAAAATACACTTGGTCATTTGCCTTCACTTTTCTATAGAACACTTTTACAAGGACAAATTTTTTTTACTAGGTTTTTCATTTTGTTTACTTTCTATTGTTTGTATTAATCTTCTAGAAGTTTGGAAATAAAATTCCTTTCCTTACTGGCTTTGATTTCATTATTTAATGAATTATTTAATTATTTAAAAGAGAGCAAATTCATTCGTGTACCTTGAAGGTGATATTTAGATTTTGCAGTGGGAGGGAAGGCTTCAAGCTTTTTTTTTTTTTTTTTTTTTTTTAAGGATAAGGTTACTGTTGGAATTTTAGAAAATATTGTTAGAAAGATCCAGTGTATAGTTATATAAATATTTATGTTATATAGTAACTAAACTACTAGGCCCACTTAAAGATTTTGAAGCCTGCAGTGCGGCCTTCAGTGATCTGAATATATAATTTTCATTAATGCTAACTGAAATGGTACAGTGAATGTCCTCCAAACAGTTCAACTTTAACAAAAGATTTTCATACTTGCTGCCCTGCTGGGAGACGCTGAAATGGCAGTAATGATATTGCCAATATAAATTGTACTTCTACGTACAGATGTGAATATCCTTCCTTAAGTTCCTTCTTTGCTCCCGCTTCCTTTTTGTTGTAGGCTATGAGAGTATGGCTGCCAGCTTTTCTTTGATACTTGACACATGTGCACACTGTGGAAATCCAGAGGAAATACTGTTGTTCTTATTAGCAGAGAGGTGCTTAGAAGCTCAGGCTGGGGTCAAAATATTCATCTCAGAGAGGGAGGGAGAGAGGTGAGAGTTTGCCTCGAATATCTTTGAACATCCGGCAATTGGCTATCAGCCACTCCCTCCCAGAGAAACCCTTTGTGTTTCCTTTTCTCACAGAATAAAACTTACCACTAGCAGCAACATTTGTTATTCTCCCTGACGCCTGGGTTCTGGAGTCACTGCTGAGCTGGCAGTGGGAGCAGTCAGACTGCCATGTGCAGGGGTGGGTGGCTGCTGCAAGCTGGTCAGTCTTGGCTCTTGCCTCTTGATTGCCCTGCCCTGCTCCATCTGGCATCTTCAGCTGAAACACCATACTCAACGTGTGTGGTGTGGACATACACTTTGGGTGTCTATGAAATAGAGAAAACATCTGAAGTTACAAGCAGCTGCCTCTCAGAGGCCTCAGGGGCCCCAGCCCCATGCTCCGCTGAATGGCACATAAACCAGACCTGAGTCTCTGTGGGATCCCAGCTGTGTCCATGCCTAACAACAGCAGCAGATGAAAGCCCGGCCCAGCAGGTGTGAGATGGGCTGGCAGCATGCTGGTTATGCTGAAGTCCCATGAAAGGAAGATAGAGGTTCAAATATCTGCAGAAGAGTGTGCTTGCTGCACTACTTGGTTTTCTGGGTACACACTGTATTAAGGCCTTCATAACCAATCTCTGCGTTCCACAGGATGCCTATGATAAAACTAATTAAATGACTGTACAAATCTGTACACATATGTGCCTAACATGAGCCACAGGGTCACCTTTTTTCTGTTGTCCCTCACAGTGAGAAGTACAGTGAGTTTACCAGCAAGGTCTTTTTTTTTACTTCTAGAGCTGTAACCTGCCAGGTCACGTAGCATTTCACAAACTTGATTCAAGAAATGAGTCTACCTGCCACTGATGGAAGTCTGGTGATTAGGAAACCTCACACAAAAAATGCAATACAGTAACTGCATAAAGATCTCCCCAAATGTGAAGTTCTTATATAGGGCTGCTTTTTTCTCTTTTTGAGGGGAGGGCAAGGGAAGATTCGCATAGCACTGATTTTCCTCTACATTAAACAGAAAGGAATTAGGGGAAGAGTATCACATGTAATGAAGTTGTCATTAGGTATGTAAACTGTCAAAGATTGAAAGTCACAAATAGAGCAAAAATTAAACGGTCATTGCAAGCTCTTCTCCTACATTGCCAATATCTAAATGTATACTGACATTTTTCTACCTGTTAGAAACTGGCTGCAGATGACACTTGAATTTCTTTCACTAATTGAATGTAGGCAACATATCATTTGCCTTTGTTTTTGAAGGAATCAATAGATTATTTGAGCTAGCCTTTAATGAATGTGTACATAAAGTTCTGGTGCCAGCCTCTGTGTGAAAGGATATAAATAGATAGCTAGGGAGTGGCACTTGTAATTTTCTCCACTGTGGTCATCTGTGAATAAGTTTTTGCAGAGCTGCACTCTTAAAAGAAGAAATTCTTGAGCCTGGCAAGCTGGGAGACAGTTCTGAAAAACAGAGCCAAATCTGTGTTGTAAAGAGATGGAAAATGGTTAGGTCAAGCAACCACAAAAATGGGCCAGAAATAGTGAGCAAAATGCAACTTTTATTTTAGTAACTATTTTGTACTGGTCAAACATGGAAACACTGGCAAATTTATGATTCTACAGAAGATTTTATTAATACTACACATGAAAAGTATTTTCTGAAATCCTGCTAACAGTTTGGATACAAATAACCCGTGGATATTACTGTGAACCACGATTACTCCTGGAACTGACATGCTAGGAGTTCTCAGTTAACAATCAGAGAAGCCAAAGCTGCTCCTTTAAGAACTGGCTGTATTTATCCAGATAATGAACATGTGCTTAATGAAGACTCAATATCAATAAATTATTTTACTGCAGGTCTGAACCATACATACATTTTTTTTTCTGTTACTGTATTAAACTTAAAAAGCAAAAAAAGCAAGTTTGAAAACTGACTCATCTGAATGAAAGTCACTGAACAGACACTAATTTTCTGAAGCTGGCAGAGTATGAATGCCAGCAGCAGCATGGAGTTACTCTCTACCACTGCCTCCACAAATATTTCTAGCTCTGTTGTCAAATCTTTTGATGGAGAATGGGGAGTCGGACACATCCTCTCTTCTTTTTGTTGTCTAATCTCCTGTGCTTTCTTGCTGTAGCCTAGAATTTCTGGTATTGTCTCCTAGATGATTCTCATCTTCTTTCACACAGAAGCAGTGTAGCAGGCTGAAAAATGGGTACATCAACAAACAGCCTCCACTAGATTATGTGGAAAGATAAAGCCACAGCGTTATCTTCTGAATCAAATCTATGAGAATCATAAACTTCAACTGTCTTTCATGTGCTGTCCATATAACAAGTGTGTTGTTTCTGAAGATTGATTATTACTAAAGCCACACTCAAGCCATGAAGGAACTTATCACAGGGCTCCCAGAGGAGCTGTCAGAAGGAATGAAGTGGAATTGAACCCAAAGGACAAACAGAAAGATCTCTTGCTTCATACGCAAGGAATTTCTAAGACTTTATCATCAGTTTTGAGATAAAGGCAAATACAGTCCTGCTGTAAAACATGGAAGCCTGCATGCTCAGGAAAGAAACATAGGTTGCTTGAAAACTCAACATACTTTAGCATGTTATTTCTTTTTTCTTTTTTTTAAATAAAGAAATGACAAGGTAACTTTATACAATGTATATGAACAAACAGTTAAGTGTTTACATCAGTAATTCTCCTGCTTAGAGGAACTGGTTTGTTTAGTGAGAACTGAAAAAGAAATCCTTATTTAGTCAGAAATCCCAAACACTATTTTCCATTTAAAAATGAACAATAACAACAACAAAAAAATGTAATAAATTTCCACTCAAATGGTTTAAGGATTGGGAAGAAAAAAAAAAAAAAGATGTGGCATGCAAGTCGCTATTAAATTCAAAAGAATTTAAGACGTGTTTGTCCATCAGCTCTTCCAGGTACTCTTTCATACATCAATCTCCTTTTTTTAAATCTTGGTACTTCTTCAAATCCCGAATCTGGTAAAGAAGTGGAAATTAAGTATCAGCATAACAAGCTAAAAATATAAACTCAGCTACATGTTTCTCAGAAGTAGTAACAGGCTTCAGCTTTAACAAGTATAGTTTGTATGAAAAACATTAAGCCCAAATCTAGACAAATTAAATATGTACAGATATTAACTGCTGTTTACAATTACTGATCAGTTTGATGCATTTTACCCCATAATAAATAATAGTATATAAAATCAACCTGCGCTGTGCTTAACCAGAATATTTCAGTATAAGTTTTCAAACTTATTTCTATTTCATTAATCCTACACTCAGTACAATTCAGTAATCACAGAAGCTAATTCTTTTAAAACAGAGACAGAAGTTGTTCAGTTGTTCCTAAGTTAGTTTAAGAAAGTATTTTATATTCTTAAGTATTTTTTACAGTAAAATATTTGGGAAGTTATTTTATCAGTACACTTTAATGGAAGAAAATTCTGTTTAGGCCTTACAAAATGTATTACAATAGAACTTTAACACTTATTAAATAATTTCATCTGTGTCAGTAAAAATAGCAGTTTAGAGTATTACCATTAATTATTTGAGGTTTAATTAATATTTTTTTCAGAAACTTACAGAAATCCTTGAAAGTTTCCAATGTGTCTTTCTAACACAACTCTGCATACATTTCCTAAATCTGAGATTTCAGAAAGCTTTCACTGTGTTGAAGTGGGGTTTTTTTGTATTTTTTTGCACAGCTTATTTGGTTTTTCCCTTGGCTAATGGATGAAAAAGTAAAACATGCCTGTTGTTCCAAAACATCAGGCAAATTCACTTACCCTTTTCTGATTTGATTCAGTTGTAAGTATACCTTTGCAATATCAGGCAAGAGTATCACAGAAAATTAATCAGTGGGAGATCACATATTGTTTTCAGAATACTGTAACAGAACCTGTTCTGATCAACTGAAACTACTATGGTTAGAATTTTCTGCTATCAGTGTCAGTTACAGGTTACTGAAATACTATTAACTATCCAGCAATACTGCAGGTCACAATTTTTATTCCAATGGAGATGCAAAAGGTCTACACGTAATTTCACTTGAGCATTTTAATTTTCATAGGCTGAAAATTGAAAGCAGTTCACCATATCCAATTAACTTTTCCCCTATTTAGTGCCAGAATTGCCTTAAGCAGCCCATTAAGCACAATGATATCAATTAGTTACATATGCTTTACATGAATGAGCCTGATTTAATTAGTGGAAGTATTTAATACTGCACTGACTTTGCTCTGTCACTGTGAGTTTTAACTACAGACAGCAACAGAGAAAACATAGATTAAATTATCTATACTAGGGGTTAGGAGGTTTATTTAGGAAGCTTAGCCTTATATTTTTTAAGAACTTGGCATTCTCTTTTTTAAGAAGTAGCAGGTTAAAAAAAAATGAAACAAAAACCTATAACATACAGTAAAACAATATTTAGTCTAATAGGGACTAAATATTTTCTTAGTTTTAAGGCTCCATGGATACATACCATGCCTTGTAAAAAATGCCTTAGGCTGTGTTTAGGATGGATAAGAAACTGTTTAGCCATGGATAAGAAAACAAAACAAACAAGCAAACAAAAACACTGCAAAAAAAACCCATAAAACAACATAAAACCAAGCTTGAAATTTATACGTAAAAGCACACTAAACTTTCTATTAGATGAAATATGCCTTGTAATAATTTCAAGATTCATAATTTAGCCCTGCAAAGAAGACGCAGGGGAGACCTCAGTGCAGACTTTCAGTATATAAAGGTAGCCTATTGTGAGAAAGACTGAGAGAGACATTTTACAAGGGCAAGTAGTGATCGGACTAGGAGTAATGATTTCAAAGATGGGAGATTTAGATTAGATAGAAGGAAGAAATTTTTTACTCAGAGGGCAGCCTCACAGAGAAGCTGTGGGTGTCCCATTCCTGAAGGCATTCACAGCCAGTTGGGATAGGGCCTTGGGCAGTCTGATCTAGTGGATGGTGACACTGTCCATGGAAGGAGGTTTGAGCTGGGTGGGCTGTAAATTCCCTTTCAACCTAAGCCATTCCATGATTTATATTTTAATTTCCTATTGCTCCAAATTGAACACAAATACTTAGGAATCTTTTATTACACAAGAAAAATAAGTAAGTGCAAGTGTTTCGCATAAGAGGAAGCAATATTGTTAGATTGGATTAAATAATTATTTAAAGAAAATATGAAGTTGAGTTTTACAGATATTACTTTTTCAATGAAGTTACTAATAAAATTTCAGCGAATCTGCCTCGCTTTGTCCATACCTGATATTTTTTTTCCTTTTGCCCCTAAGAATGGTGGACTTTGCTTTTTCCTTCCTGAAAGTTCTCGACCTTGGTTTTGGAAACACAGAGTTTGAATTTCATCTGGATCAACAAGGGAATCAGAGTGAATTAAGTTAGGTGCAAATGAATTGTATGTGCAAATGGATGAAAAGTCATTCCATGAAGTCTCATAAATCTGAATTTCTGGGCTCTTAAATGCTGTGCCTCTAAATTCTTCCAGAAAAGCTGTAGAGCTGTCAGGAGGTACACAGTCACTGAAAGTTGTAAAAAAACCTTTTTCAGAGTTTTTGGAGGAATGATCAGAGATAGAGTGTGTCCTGAAAGCCTGACCTTTAATGTAAAAAGAATTCATAGCATTTAGACGAGCAAAATCTCCACAGCCCTTTGGTACAACAAAGAAATTCTGTTTCCTCTCTGGAGCTACTTCTGAAAAACAAGGTCTCTTATGCATATAGCTTGAAAGGCCAGTGTTGATAAAACCTGGATTATGTTTCAATGGAAGAAATGTGTCTTCAGAATTCACATGAGATGGCCCTGGTGGAGAAAAAAATTGAATCATTCTCTTTGAAAAATGAACAATTAGCATGTCTCTCTAAATTTTTCAGTAAAAAAAGGAATTCATTGAGCATTAAAATACTGTCTGCCCGTCATAACAATTCATATTTCAATGGTTAGAAAATAAAGATTCTAATATATTTAGTCTTTCACCTGGTTTCAGAGATGATACATTTTGGCAATAGTTCAAATTACCTGTGCTGGTTTGTGCCTTAGGCAGCAACTCTAAAGACTGAGAATTTTGTTTATAATCTGGATAGAGTCTTTTAAAGGTATTCCAGTTTTCTGGAAGTGATGAACTTTTCACTGTTGTTTTCAGTGGAGCAGCAGCATTTAAGCTGTACGAAGAGGTAATGTCACTAAAATGCTGAAACCAAATAAAAGGATTTGAGCAGTGTTTATAATGCAAGTCTACACTCTCAAATATGAAAGTTAAATAACTAGTAAAGATTCTAAAGCTTATATATAAATTTTTTTTACTGGAAATAAAAATAGAAGACTTGGTAATATAAGTCACTTATGGTAGACAATGTGCTTCCAGTCTTACATCTATAAACAGATTAATAAACAGCATGTTACTTGAACCACAAGAAACCAGTATCATAGTATATTCTCTTTCATGTGTTAGGACTGGAAAAAGTGGCATCTGCAATGTATTGGTGCATTTCACATGTCATGGAAGGATTAAAGTAACTTTTCACTCAGTAAATACTACTATACACACACATGATTACTATAATAACATGTATAAGTTAATAGTGCCCAAATATCTTTTCCCTAGCTCTTTCACCTTAAATGAATGATTTAGAAAAGCAGGATGTCCCCCCCTTTTAGAATAGAATCATAGAAACAGAATAATAGAATAGCTCAGGTTGGAAAAGATGTTATAGATAATTGAGACCAACCACAGCCTAACCATACTGCCCTAGCTCCAACAACCCTCTGCTAAATCATGTCCCTGAGCACCACATCCGGATGGTTTTTAAACACATTCAGGGATGGTGACTCAACCACCTCCCTGGGGAGCCTATTCCAGTGCTTAACAACCCTTTCTGTAAAGAAGTTTATCCTAATATCCAACCTAAACTTACCCTGGCAAAACTTGAGGCCATTTCCCCTCATCCTGTCACCTCTCACCAGTGAGAAGAGATCAAACCCACTTTCACAGCAATCATCTTTCAGGTATTCAAAGAGAGCAGTAAGATCTCCCCTCAGCCTCCTCTTCCTCAGACTGAACAGACCCAGTTCCTTCAGTTGTTCCTTGTAGGGCATATTCTCCAAGCCAAGCTGACTATAATGAGTCAGTAATTTTCTTGGACTTGGCCCAACTGAAAACAGTAGCAGCAAACAATTGCAGCTGCAGACAGAATTTCAGACACTTTAGCGGACAGAATTATTCCTCTTAAACTCAAAGGGCTCTCTCAAATGATTAATGTGGTGAGGTTGTACTCAGTGGTGGGTTATACTACTGTGCAAGCAAATGGATGGCAGGAGGAAAAGGGAAGAAGAAAGGAAAGCAACTGGAAAACAATTCTTGTTTTATAGAGATGTATAAATACATATGCTCAGAAGATATTTGATATGATAGAGCTTAGACTTTTTTTTATTTAATTTTTCAGAGTATTTTCCCAGTTAAGAAATTTTTTCCAGTACTAATAACCTTCACAAAAACATAATGATGACTCAACAAAATCTGCTGAGAATTAGCGAGGACATTAATTTAAATATGAACAATACATTGAAGTTCTGAAAGTAATAAAACATTAATTTATTTTTGATGACACTAGAAAATAGCCATGTAGCATCAGATTAA